TCTGTGAAACTCTGGCAAGTAAATGGTAAAACCCTGAATGAAAGTTTAGAAGGGATACAAGATAATGGGGGAAAACTATGTTTGGAAAAACTTCTTTTTTATATTTTACACTTGTTGTCACCCCTGAATTTCGCTCTGGAATACAAAAATTGCCGATCTCCTTGGGAAACAATACCTATATCTGTTGGGTAAGATCTGTTACCCTTGGATACCGAGTAATGTCCAGAGCTGGTGCTATGTAGTCACCAATTAGTGCCAATCATGGCAGCTATAGACCAAAAGGAACACCAGTAAAAGCCAGTACATACCCAAAACACCAACTAACTCTGAGACAGAGAAGGGAAACCAAACAAGAAAAGGTAGATCTATTCTCTACAGGGGATAAGGTTTGGTCATGGTTTCCTACTTACACTGGATGGGGAATAACACTCATGAACAAAATAAAATAATTACACAAACATTATTGATGATATACTGGAGAGGAACTCTAAGGACATGGGGTTGCTAAATACTGAGACCAGAGCTATTAGAAACAGCTGGAGATGCAAGAATTAGCTATTGAAAGTATGAGTGCTGCTCTGACAGGTCTGTGTGAGATGACAGAGGATTATGAATGTTGTACTTGGATATATAATACCACAATGACTGTTCCAGATTATTATGAAATAATAAAGCAACACAGGGAACAGGTAGATGGTTTGATGGAAAGCTAGAGCTATAGGAAAAGATGGATGGAACTCCTTTTGATTGGTTAGGATCAGGATTTGGTTCCATCTTTCATGGATGAAAGGTATCGCTGTAAGCATAGTCATGATATTGTTTTTTGTTTTATCTTTATATCTATGTTTTAAATGCTCATTATAATGTATTGCTAGAGCTACCAAAAGCTGCAGAATACAAATGAAAGGTTATCTGGCTATGTAAAGAATTGAGATCATGTTCATGATCTCAGAAGGGATTGAAAGGATCTAGATAACTTCCATTTTGTATTATGTACGCCATTTTAAGTATATAAGTATTAAGTTAGCTTTTTGCAGAAATATTAAAAGTTTAATGAAACTGTTTTTGGTTGTTCAAGGATGTATCAACAGAAGCTAACATGACCCTGACAATGTCTTTGTCTGGCCGTTTTATTCCAGAAAGTTATAGCCAAAACAATTTGTACCAAGAAATGTATAATGTTATGTTTCATGTAGTTAAGCGCATGATGGAAATTTACAAGTTACAGTTTTTGAAACTCGCTCCCCCCTCCTTTATTTTATCTGTAGTCTATATAATCTTATTAATGTCTAATAAACTTTGAACATCTCTGAACATAAGCTTGCCGTTATTCCCGTGTTCAAGGGTGTTCCCAGAATTCTGCTGATAAACCAGGAATCTCTCCACAGACCGGGGGTCTCTGAGGGGAAAAGAAAATCATTCCTTTCATCCCCCTTATGTATTATACAATGGAGATCATATCCCCCCTTATGTATTATACATGGAGATCATATCCCCCCCTTATGTATATACATGGAGATCATATCCCCCCTTATGTATTATACATGGAGATCATATCCCCCCTTATGTATTATACATGGAGATCATATCCCCCCTTATGTATTATACATGGAGATCATATCCCCCCTTATGTATTATACATGGAGATCATATCCCCCCTTATGTATTATACATGGAGATCATATCCCCCCCTTATGTATTACACATGGAAATCATATCCCCCTTATGTATTATACAAGAGATCGTATCCCCCTTAATGTATTATACATGGAGATCATATCCCCCTTATGTATTATACATGAAGATCATATCCCCCCCTTATGTATTATACATGGAGATCATACCCCCCCCCTTATGTATTATACATGGAGATCATATCCCCCTTACGTATTATACATGGAGATCATATCCCCCCTTATGTATTATACATGGAGATCATACCCCCCCTTATGTATTATACATGGAGATCATACCCCCCCTTATGTATTATACATGGAGATCATATCCCCCCCTTATGTATTATACATGGAGATCATATCCCCCCCTTATGTATTATACATGGAGATCATATCCCCCCCCCCCATGTATTATACATGGAGATCATATCCCCCCTTATGTATTATACATGGAGATCATATCCCCCCTTATGTATTATACATTGAGATCATATCCCCCCCTTATGTATTATACATGGAGATCATAAATACCCCCCCCCCTTATGTATTATACATGGAGATCATACCCCTCCCCCCCTTATGTATTATACATGGAGATCATATCCCCCCCTTATGTATTATACATGGAGATCATACCCCCCCTTATGTATTATACATGGAGATCATATCCCCCCTTATGTATTATACATGGAGATCATATCCCCCCCCTTATGTATTATACATGGAGATCATATCCCCCCCCTATGTATTATACATGGAGATCATATCCCCCCTTATGTATTATACATGGAGATCATATCCCCCTTATGTATTATACATGGTGATCATATCCCCCCCCCCCTATGTATTATACATGGAGATCATATCCCCCTTATGTATTATACATGGAGATCATATCCCCCCTTATGTATTATACATGGAGATCATATCCCCCCCTTATGTATTATACATGGAGATCATAATCCCCCCTTATGTATTATACATGGAGATCATATCCCCCCTTTATGTATTATACATGGAGATCATATCCCCCTTATGTATTATACATGGAGATCATATCCCCCCCTTATGTATTATACATGGTGATCATATCCCCCCTTATGTATTATACATGGAGATCATATCCCCCCCTTAAGTATTATACATGGAGACCATATCCCCCCCTTATGTATTATACATGGAGATCATATCCCCCCTTATGTATTATACATGGAGATCATATCCCCCCTTATGTATTATACATGGAGATCATATCCCCCCTTATGTATTATACATGGAGATCATATCCCCCTTATGTATTATACATGGAGATCATATCCCCCCCTTATGTATTATACATGGAGATCATATCCCCCCCTTATGTATTATACATGGAGATCATATCCCCCCTTATGTATTATACATGGAGATCATATCCCCCTTATGTATTATACATGGAGATCATATCCCCCCCTTATGTATTATACATGGAGATCATATCCCCCCTTATGTATTATACATGGAGATCATATCCCCCCTTATGTATTATACATGGAGATCATATCCCCCCTTATGTATTATACATGGAGATCATATCCCCCCTTATGTATTATACATGGAGATTATATCCCCCCTTAATCTCCTTTTCTCAGTAGAGAATAACATTCAGTTCCTCTAATCTTCCTCATAGCTGATCTCCTCATCCTCCATGCCTCGTATCAGTTTGGTTTCCCTTCTCTGTACTTTCTCCAGTTCCCCAATGTTCTTTTTGTGAATTGGAGCCAAAACTGAACTGCATATTCCAGATGAGGTCTTACTAATGATTGTACCCGGGGGGGGGGGGGGGGGGGGGGGGGGGGGTATATGATATCTCTCTCTCTGGAGTCTATACCTCTTTTAATACGAGAGGATTTTGCTCTCTTTTAGAACCCGCAGCTTGGCATTGCTGCCATTATTAAGCTTGTGATCTACCAGAACCCCCAGATCCTTCTCCACTATTGATTCCCCCATTTGTACCCCCCCCCCCTCAGTATGTATGATGCATGCATATTCTTAGTCCCCCAAGTGCAGACATTAAACCTCATTGGCCCCATAGTCCCCCAATTACACAGAGCATTGAGGTCGGCCTGTAAGTTGGAGACATCCTGTAAGGACGTTATTCCCCGCACAGCTTGGTGTCATCTGCAAAGACTGAAATGGGATTTATAATCCCCGACCCCAATATTGTTTATAAATATATTATCCTCCCTGGTGGTCTGATTGTCAAAGCGGTACATTGTTTTGCATGGAAATTTTTTGTTTTCTATTGTAGACCTGTAATTCTAAGGAACAACTCACTGAAATCTGTCCAAAACAAGAGTCTAGTAAACTTCCTGGGTATGATGAAGTTTGAAACATTAAATTATAATATAATAAATTTAATTCAATAATGTAATCAAACCAAAAACACTGAAATGTGAATTAGAGCGCCAAGTTCGCACATCGCTGAGCTCAGTCGCAGAATCGTCGCTGTCGTCACTTTTCAGTATCTGACGAATTTCCCCCACGAATCATTATCACTCAATTCTGCAAGTGATTCTAAATCACTATCGCTGTTCTCTAGCCGGTCTCTAAAACCGCTTTTTTCGGTTACTTAAAGGGACATTTTTTGGACGCCATGGATATTCTCCAGTTTCCAGGCAGAAAGAACAGTAAAAGTGCAGGCAGGGCGCCGGACAGAGCACTCGGGACAAAACTTATGGAAATGGTTTTGTACAGAATGTAATCCTAACAGATTACAATGTTTCATTGTGTGTATTTCATATATTTTTTTTTTTTACTTTTTTTGAATCTCCCGCCGGGTCTGCCCTCCCAGCCACCCCACCCCCCCCCCCTCTACACCCCAGCCCCACCCCCCCCCACCACTGCGTCCTGACGCTCGCATGGAAGGGTACCCAGAAGACGGATGCTGGCATCGGCTGGAGGACACAGTGGGGAGGACATTGGGGGATCGCAGGACAAGGTAAATTATACTACAGTGTAATCCCAAGTGTGGCTCGGGGTTACTGCTCTTGGTACTGAAAATTAACCCCGAGCCACACTCGGGATTACCGCCAGGGAGGTTAAAAAGTCAGGGGCCATAACCCTGAACCTTGGGGTACACCACTAACAGCCCTAAACCATTCAGAGTATGAATCATTAACCACTGTCACTCTCCGAATTCGGTCTGTTAGCCCATTTTCTATCATTTACATACTGATTTTTTCCAAGCCTGTAGACTTTACTTCACACATTAGCTTGTGTGGGGAACTGTGTCAAACACTTTTGCAAAATCCAAGTATGCCACGTCCACACCACCCTTCTACTGTCCAAGTATACCACGTCCACCACCACCCTTTTTTCTGTCCAAGTATAAACCACGTCCACCACCACCCCTCTGTCCAAGTATACCACATCCACCACCACCCCTCTGTCCAAGTATGCCACGTCCACCGCCACCCTTCTGTCCAAGTATACCACGTCCACCACCACCCTTCTGTCCAAGTATGCCACATCCACACAATGCCACCCCTCTGTACAAGTATACCACATCCACCACCACCCCTCTGTCCAAGTATGCCACGTCCACCGCCACCCCTCTGTCCAAGTATGCCACGTCCACCGCCACCCTTCTGTCCAAAGTATGCCACGTCCACCGCCACCTCCTCTGTACAAGTATAACCACGTCCACCACCACCCCTCTGTCCAAGTATGCCACGTCCACCCGGCCACCCCTTCTGTCCAAGTATGCCACGTCCACACGCCACCCCTCTGTCCAAGTATGCCACGTCCACCGCCACCACCTCTGTACCAAGTATACCACGTCCACCACCACCCCTCTGTCCAAATATACCACGTCCACCGCCACCCCTCTGTCCAAGTATGCCACGCCCACCGCCACCCCTCTGTCCAAGTATACCACGTCCACCCAGCCATCCCTCTGCCCAAGTATACCACGCCCACCGCCACCCCATCTGTCCAAGTATACCACACCCACCGCCACCCCTCTGTCCAAGTATGCCACGTCCACCGCCACCCCCTCTGTCCAAGTATACCACGCCCACCCCTCTGACGCCACCCCCTCTGTCCAAGTATACAACGCCCACCGCCACCACCCCTCTGTCCAAGTATGCCACGTCCACCGCCACCACCCCTCTGTCCAAGTATATACCACGCCCACCGCCACCCCCACCCCCTCTGTCCAAGTATACCACGCCCACCGCGCCACCCTCCTCTGTCCAAGTATACCACGCCCACCCAGCCACCCCATCTCTGTCAAAGGTTTTGCTCACCTTCTCATAGAAATAAATCAGATTTGTTTGACAACTTCCGTCCTATAAGATCACCTAGTGTAGCCACTCTTCTGGAGGTACCTCGGCATACAGCCTGGGCTCACAGTATTCTCACACTGAGTCTACTCACACACCATTACGTAGGAAGGAAGGCCCACCCATGAAGAAGAAGAGGAAGGATCAGTGATATCATTGGGCTGGGTAAAAGACCGCAGAAATAAAGGATATGTCTATTAGTAGGAATAAAAAACGCACAGGGGATCAAATACCATCAAAAAGCCCTATTTTGTGGCGTAAAAAAAGGGGACATACATATTCATTTATTTACAGCTGTTTGCATGACCGCGCACGCAATTGTCAGAGTTAAACACTTCCAGTCCGAACACTTTCCCAACACTTCCCCCCCCCCCTTCCTGTCCAGGCCAATATACAGCTTTCAGCGCTATCACACTTTAAATGAAAATTGCGCGGTGTCATAAACACTGTAAACCCCATATGAAAATTTATTGTGGCATATTTTTTTGAGACAGATAAAGCTCTTATTTTGGTGTATTTACTCACGCACTGGGATTTTTATTTTTTTGCTATGTAAATGAAAGTCTAAAAATTTTTGAAAAAATGTTTTTTTTTCTTATAAAACAAAAATTTTGCAAATAAATTATATTTCATCATACATCTTGGCCAAAATTATTTTTATATCTTTTTAGTAAAAAAAAATAACCCAAAATATTCCATTTTTATAATATTTTTACATAATAGTTTTTTTAATATACATATATATTTTATATATATCATATAATTTTTTGTTTTTTACATACTGCCACCCTAGCATACAGTGTCACCATGGTGACACTGTACTACTTGTGGGGGTGATTGTAAGATCTTTTTTTTTTTTTTTTTTACACTGATTGGCTTTTACAAAACCCATGTAAAGGCTGTAATGAGGAATCATTTCTCCTCCTGCTCTGTCTGCTTTCTTGCAGCCATTTGAGAACTTACTTGTGTGAGCTGTGATTAGTCACAGCTTGTCCACATGGTACAAGGCTGTTGTGAAAGCCCTGTACCATGTGATCTCTGTGATCATTCACAGATTTCACATCATAGTAAGCAATGATGTCAGAAGTGACACCTTGTTTACTACTCTGCATGTGATCACTGATTGGCCAATCAGTGATCACATGATCCAGGACCTCGTATAGAGGTCCCGTCCCGACCGATCGGTGTTCCACTGTGTATGGAGGACACAGCAGGCACTGGATCGCGGTGCTGCGCGCGATACTCCCATGGGAACGCGCACAATAAAGGGGGCAGCGGTGAGAGGCCGTTTATAAACAGCCACCTGACCCTGCACTGCCACCGTCCAGCCGTTTTATATATTTAATATAAAGAACGGGCAAACCAGATGGAGGGTGGTTAAAGTAAGTGCAGTGCCGTATCGTAAAAAAAGATGGCCTGGTCAGGAATGGGGGGTAAATCCTCTGGAGGGCAAGTGGCAAAAACAGACCTACACTGTATCTGAGCACCACAGACCAAAAACACTATTCAATCCATTTTAATATTCAAAGAACACTCCCCCCCCATCCATGTGGTATTTATATTATTAGTTACAGGTATTCAATGTACGAGCGCTTTACATATACATGTATATTGTACATTCACATCAGTCTTATGCAGTTGAGTTTAGGAGTTCTGACAAAAAAATGCTTAGCAGCTGCCCGTTGCATGAAGCCTAACAGCCGAGCCCTATTCACAGCGTATGTTAATTTTGTGAATGTACAGGGATATCACACGCCATTTTCACTTCTATGACAGGGTGGCCCCCTCGAGGGATACACAGCCATTCACTTCTCTAATGACAGGTTGGCCCCCCGAGGGATATACAGCCATTCACTTTCTATGACAGGGTGGCCCCCCTCGAGGGATACACAGCCATTCACTTCTATGACAGGGTGGCCCCCCCGAGGGATATACAGCCATTCACTTCCTATGACAGGGTGGCCCCCCGAGGGGATACACAGCCATTCACTTCTATGACAGGGTGGCCGCCTCCTCGAAGGATTACACATAGGCCCTTCACACTTTCTAGACAGTGGTGCCCCCTCGAGGATACACAGCCATTCACTTCATGACAGGGTGGCCCCCTCGAGGGATACACAGCCATTCACATCTATGACAAGGGTGGGCCCCCCAGAGATACACAGCCATTCATCTTCTATGACAGGGTGGCCCCCCCGAGGATACACAGACATTCACTTCTATGACAGGGTGGCCCTCCCCGAGGGGATTACACCAGACATTCACTATCTATGACAGGGTGGCCCCCCCGAGGGATACACAGCCATTCACTTCTATGACAGGGTGGCCCCCTCGAGGGATACACAGCCATTCACTTCTATGACAGGGTGGACCCCTCTCCGAGGGATACACAGCCATTCACTTCTATGACAGGGTGGCCCCAGCCGAGGGATTACACAGCCATTCACTTCTAATGACAGGGGTGGCCCCCTCGAGGGATACACAGCCATGTCACTTCTATGACAGGGTGGCCCCCTCGAGGGATACACAGCCATTCACTTCTATGACAGGGTGCCCCCTCGAGGATACACAGCCCATTCACTTCTATGACAGGCGTGCCCCCTCGAGGGATACACAGCCATTCACTTCTATGACAGGGTGGCCCCTCGAGGATACACAAGCCATTTCACTTCCTATGGACAGGGTGGCCCCCTCGAGGGATATCAACAGCCCATATCACTCCTATGACAGGGTGGCCCCCCTCGAGGGTTTTTACGCTCAGGTGTAATTTTTGCCTATATACATCCCAGGTGTACATACCCCTGAAGCTGAAA